CCCGACTGGGGGGGGGGGGGGGGGGGGGCAAGTCCAAGTACCCCCCAAGGACCACCTCCCCATGATGAAAGAGGAGGATGGCGAGGTTTTCCAGAGCGCTGAAGCCATTGCCGACAGGTTTTTGGAAAGGTTTTCGGCGATGGAGGCGGGGGAGACCCTCCGGCCAGGCCAGCTCGCGGATGCGTGCAATACCCATTGCGAAGCGTTTTTTTGACAGAGCCCCCGCTTTGGTCAAGTGCCCACTCCAATTTATTGAGCCCAAGGATAGATTGCAGGAGAGCTTCCTGAAGGCCAAGGTGGGGAAGCAACCGGGGCCGACGGGCATTCGCCGCGAGCTTTTGAAGATCGCTGCGTCCGAGATGGCCGACCTTTTTTGCCCCCTCTTCATGAAAGTGACGGTCCAGGGAGCCGAACCGATCTCGTGGAAGGGTGGATGGGCGGTCCCAGTGCCCAAAAAGCCCCACCTTTGCTGTTTCAAGAATTACCGCGAAATCCTGCTAGGAGAAGTGGCGGCCAAGCACCGCCATTCGTTTCTGAGGACGCTCGTCGCTAGGGTTGTCAAGGGCCTCGCGGGTCCCAACCAGATGGGGGGTCTGCCTGGGAGGGGGACTGACTTGGCCTCGCTGGCCACCAGAACCGCCCTCGAGCTGCTCAAGACCCAAGGAGAAACGGCCATCCTTGTTTCTTTTCGGACCTCAGGGGCGCTTTCTACCGAGTCCTGCGACAATTTGTCGTGGACAGTGCTCCCCTCGACGAAGAAGAGGTCGTCGACAGGCTGCAGATTCTGCTTGCGCTAGTCCCATCGTTTCAAGCCCTGCTCAGGCAACCGGCCCTTCTTACCGACAAGGCCCCCCCTCAGCTCGCCCGCATGGTGTCCGAGGCTGCTGGAGCGACGTGGTTTGGAGTAAGGCTTGCCGCGAGCTTAGCGCTCCCCGAGACAGGCGCTCGAGCTCGAAGGCCGCTCGGAGACATACTGTTCATCGCCGCCTTTGCCCCTGCTCATGCTAAGGTGCACCAGCGGCTTAAGCAGAAAGGTCTGCTTGTCCCAGTGCAAGATATGCTAGATGAAGCCTCAGTCTTGTGCGAGCAGCTTTTCTCAAGAGGAGGGTATGGGGCCCCAGACAGTGAAGATCTCCAGGGGGCCGCGTTCGTGGATGATCTCCTTGCCCTCGCCACTCCCCCCACCACTGCCGAGTGGAAACCAGCGGCCCAACAGATGGCCACGATAGTGCACGAAGAGCTTGTCCGAGCGGGTTTTGCCCCCAATTACGACAAGGGAAAGACAGGGATCATGATTAGTTTCTCGGGGGAAGGATCCACGGCTGCTCGCGTTGAGTATGAGGAATCTGGCACGTTGCAGGTAGGAGCCTTCGTGATAAAGCTGCGCAAGGCTGAGATTTACAAATACCCGGGGTCCATGCTCCACCGATGGGGGTCCTGGGGTCCAGAAATCCACTTGAGAGGCCACGATCAGGCCGCGGTCCTGGGCCCGCTTAGGAGAACCGTGTTTGGTTTGCAGGACCCGCCCAAGCAGACTAAGATCAAGTACGCAGTTGCCTTGTGCTGTTCGCGGTTTTTGTACCAGGCAGTGTTGTGGACGCTGCCAGTCAAGGCACTTGCCCGAGCCGAAGGGAAATACCTCGATGCCTTCAGGCTGCTCTCAAGCCTGACCTCCTTAGGCCCCCTGAGCCCAAAGCGTCTCGCGAAGAGGTCCTCGTTCAGGCCCCAAAACCGCCCCTGCTCCTGGTTTTGCGGCTTCGGAGACTTAGGTTCCTGCCCAGGGTCCTGAGGTGTGGATCCAAGGCCACGCTGGCCATGCTAGACTTGCTCTCGCAAAAAGAGGGCACGTGGGCATCCCTCTTGTTCCAAGACCTAGGCTGGCTCCCCCCGCGTGTCTCTCTGCCTCTTTCCCTCTCTCCTCCAGGTGACAAGAAGTGGTGGATTGCTCTTGCGTGCCGAGAGCCCAAAGTCTGGAAGAGGCTGCTGAAAGCGGTCGAAATAGGAGCTACGAGGGCCGAACTCGACCTTTCCCGTTTGACGTTGTGGCGTAGTGATATCATGGCCCTGAGCGTGGCGACCCAGGTTCCCCCTCCCCCCACCTGTGGACAAGACGACCCCGGCGTAATTTACGTGTGCCCCGAATGTTATGCCACTTTTATTACCCCCCATGCCTGGGCTACACATAGGGCCAAGCACCACCCAGAAGTTGACCTTGCCAGAACACTTGCCCTAGGAAGTGTCTGCCAGCCCTGCAATAAGGAATACTTTACCACTTTAAGGTTGCTTAAGCATTTGAGACATGGGTCCAAGGTGTGTTTGCCCAACCTCGTGGTTGCACTTAGGCCCCTCTCCCAGGAGCAAATTCAGCAGCAGCGTGACCTCAACGTGGATTGTGCTTCCGAGCTTGCCTCCAGAGGGCTGTACGCAGAGCAGGCAGAGAAAACAGTGTATAGGCGCATAGGGCCTGGACTAAAAGGAGCGTGCGACGAACGTTGGCATAAGCTGACACCAGTGGCGAGAGCGGCAACGGACTTTAGAGCCGCCGACCTGCCGCCGCCAAATCCCATCCCTGTCCCGCCTCCGCCAGAGCAACACTCTTACATTTTGCTAATCGGCGTTGGCCGAAGAAGGCCTAATGATCTGCAATCCGTCATAGACAGGCTTGCCGAGGAAAAAGGTCTCAGGATACTCGTGCTCAGCATAGGGGCAAAAGAAGACAGCTCCCTCACACGACCAGAGGTGAAGACCATGGTCGAGCTAATCCTCGCAGGCCAAGTGTGGGCTGTCATCTCAGGGCCGCCGTGCGAAACCTTCAGTAGGGCACGTGCAGGCCATCTTTAAGCAGGAAGCTCTTTCCCAGAGTCATCAGATCAACCGAATTCCCTTGGGGAATGCCCACTAGGACTGGCCCAGAGTGGGACCTGCTAGATGCAGACAATGAGATTTTGAGAACGACGGTTCGCTGTGCCGTTGCGTGTGTGGCAGTCGGTGCTAAGTTTGTTTTTTCCTTTCCAGAGGCTCCCAGGAAGGAGCATCTGGCCTCGTGTTGCAAAATCCCCGAGGTCCGTTTTTTGAGCTCCCTCCCTGAGGCCGACTCGTTTTGCTTCGACATGTGTGTTTTCGGTGCCTCCACTGTTCAACCGACTTCGGTGGTCACCCTCAACGTACCAGGCATGGGGGAGAATTTCAGGCATCGTAGGTGTTACCACGGTGCCCACCAGGTCCCTGAAGGGCCCCAAGACTTGCTGGCGCCCCCAGGCTTCAGTAGGTCCGTCGCCCAGGCAGTGCTGGACGGGCTCCAGCCCGCTGGAGCGGGCCCACCCGACACATACGCCTTCACGGAGGCGCGCGCCCCGCACCTACTCTCCCTGTTCGCCCCGCCCGATCCGTATGGTGTGTCGTGGTCGGGGCCGTCCGCCCGTACAGGGGCGGCGGGAGCGTCTGTGTAGTGGGGTTGCGCCCTCCTCTCCCCTCCCCTCCCTCGTGTCAGGGTCGTGGTCGTCGTTCTCTCTCTTTCTGTCGACGGCCGCCCTTTTCTCCCCGTCTCACCGTTGCATGTCGTCCACCGCGGATCATCCTCATCGGGAGTATGAACAGAACAGACTGAGGCGCGCCGATCCATCCGAAGAGAGGCCTGCGCACTAACACTACAGGAGGCAGGGCCTCACAGCGATCGAGCAGTGAAAGAGGCCATCCACCGAATATGAAGGAGCGGCGTGCCGATGCTCAACGGCCACAAGCGGGAGCACGGATTTGCCACTACAGTTTCTGACATGACCCCCACATCAGCCCACCAACAGGTCATAGTTCGGCGATCTGGCGTGCCGCCAGCAGGCATCTGTGAGCAAAGAGCAAAGACGTAAGAGCCCCGGGAGCGTTCTCTTTGACGCTCTGGCAAATACTCCAGCTGGAAATTCAGTGTGGAAACATGCGATGATCATCCTGCGTATGGCCGCTGGGCGAGCATTGTCTGAGGCATGGTCCTGCTCGGTGCCGAGTACCCACCTGACGAGTAAGCGAGGATTCGGGCAAGCGCGGGGGAGGGCGGTCAAGTGCGTGAGTTAGGGGCATTGCCAACAATGGCACATCGACTCCCGTGCACAGCAACCGAAGTGGCAAGGACGAGGCTTCAGAACGGGCACCCTGTGGGATGTGATCCAACCCGCGTAGGATGCTCTCAATCGGCAGGCACCTTTGATGATGGATTCAGCACTCTGAGGCGCTTGGGCGACGGTGCAAGCGAAGGTTTCGGGGAGCATGGACGTAGACAGAGGTTGAACCACAGCCCGCTCAAACCTGGGGCGCCGACCATCGCGTGCGGCTTGGGCGACGGCCTCGCAGCCAGCGCTCTGGGCGGCGCGCAAGCAAGCAATCGATATCTGTCTACGAGATGTGATCCGGATGGGGCGGCCGCTAGCTGTCGAGGAGTGCGTCTCACCAATGCCCTGCTGCTGCTGCTGCTGTTGCCGGAAGGGCGGGCTCCGGTGTCCGCGGAGCCATCGGGTCAGGAAGCCATGCAAGTGGGCTGTCTCTTAAAACGCATTAATCCGAGGACGCCACATCCCTTCAATCGGAAAAGAGCAAGACCGCAATGCCGCGGCTGCGCTACAGGTGACGACGGAGGGGAGCCCCACTTTCCCCGCGAGTGGAGTGAGTGTCAATCGGTCAGCTTCAACGAGTCTGGGGGCAGCCGACAAACCTTGTGTAGCGCAGAGATCTCGTATTGCAGGATTTTGAAATCGACGGGGCAATGCACGAGATAAGACAACACATGCATCGACGATGTAACGTACGTGTACACACTGATTGCCCTCGCAGCGCCAGCGGCAGCCTGGAGCTGAACGCGTGTCTACCACTTCTAGGCAGCAGCTCGCCACTACATGGCGGGCGTGGCAGCAGGACCAATGTACACACCTAGGTACTTCCAAGCCAGGGGGGAGGACGAACAACGGGCGGAGGAGGAGGAACATCAGGAGGAGGAGGATGATGATGATGAGGAGGAGGAAAAGGAGGGTCTGTCAGGGGCGCCCGCCTGCGAGCGGCTATTGCGAATTGCAGGGGCCGGGTCGCCGCTGCTCTTCGTGCATGGCACGCCTGTTCTTTGACCGCCGTGCCTAACCCACAAGGGAGAGGCAGATGGGGAACGGGAGTGGATGGGGAGGGGGAAAAGGGGACGGATGAAACATGATATGACTACATGCGCATGCGTACACGTACATGTTTGTATATGCACATAGATATGTATGCATGTATGCATGCATATATGTATGTATGCCTGTATGTGTGTATATTGTGTATATAATCGCGCGCTCCGCGCGCGCTCAACTGCTAGACGAAACATCGGTAACACATGCTGCAATACCACGCGCTGTCTTCCGTGATGTGTTTCCTCCCCCAATGGGCCGTTCATATTACCTGCGCAGTCTGGTGCGTCTGTTGGTCTGCGGCCTTTCTGCGTTTTCCTGTTGGAAAGAGGGTGTTGAACTTGAAAAGAAGGAGAACAAAAATGTGGGGCTATTTTTTTGGAGGGTTGGGCATCGGGTCGGACCTTGGGAAGAGGGAGCAGGGCGACGGAAGACGAGGGCGGGAACGGGAGGGGGACGGAGGAAGGAGCGAAGGAGAGATGACGGGGAGGCAGGGAGGACGGAGCATGGAAGGGGGGCGGGCCGCGGAGGGCGCGCGGGCAATCCGCCGCCCAACGAACGCCAAGAACCTCGCGGGCCGCGTTCTCAATGATGGCCCCGCAGAGGTGGGCAGCGGCCGCTCGGACGGCACAATTCACGTGTTAGCCGGCGGCCCTTGGGAGGAAGGCCGAAGGGAGGGGGAGGGCGTTCAATGATCGCTGCGGCCAGCCTGCCGAAACTCGGGCAGAGCCAGCCGTGCAGGAAGGGGTCGTTGCAGGGTCGACCGCCGAGGACCGACGCGGCGGGACATCCGAGACGACGCGCCCCGTTGTAGGGGTCGTGAAACCTGCGGCTTGTGACCCAACGCCCCGCCAAGGTCGAGAGGCGCGCGTTGGCGTGGGAGGGGGGGCGCCGCCTCGGGGCCTCTAGCACGCTCTCCCAGGCCGCGCGCTCGATCGTCCCCAGGAACGTTGGACATAACTGCCGAGCCTTCGTTTTAACCATGCTGCGAGCGGGTCGTCGGCGCCGGCGGCCCCTGGAGCGAAGGGAAGCCCCTGCCGAGAGACCCACATGAGCCCGCGCTCATCGCGCGCCAGCTGGGAACGGCCTCGAGCGATCGATCAGCCCGCTTTCGGCGTGTTGGGGGCCTTCAAAACCGCCCGCGGCGCGAGCGAGGTGCTCGGCGGACAGGGGCATTCAACGCCCAGGGGCACGTTTCCCCCGCGTGAGGTCCGCCGCGTAGGGCCCCTCTCCAGCCTCCTTGAATCGGCCCAACGCCGCTGGCCAGGAGCGGAAGGTGAAGAGAGAGGCGCGCATGAGAGCAACTGCGTTATAGGAGAGAGACAGAGGGGCCCAATGTCCACGCCATCGTTGAGGATGCACCAGCCACGGTCCCGAATCGGTCGGCATGGCTGAATGAGCAGACTGGCCAGGGGGGCGGTTCCTAGATGTCTGGCGGCGTCTGGGAGAAGGGCGAGTTGGGCGACGCAGTCCAAGACTGAGGCCCTCCTCTGCACATGAAGAGGAGCGGTGACCGATAACGGCGGACTCGCAGCTGCTATCGCGCGGGTTCGACCCCCCCACTTGCGAACCGGCCCCTGCCACGATTCATCAGTCCCTGCAGGTCCGGGAAATATTGCGACACATTTCGCCACGGCCGCGATCCTGCATGAGCTCCAGTCTGGGGCGCGCGGCCGCAGCCGCTCGGGGGCCTGGATCGGATTCGAGAGCCGAGCACAAAAGGGAACGCGCAGTATTTCGCGGGCTTCATGTCCTGTCGGGTCAGGCGGGAGGCGCCCTTGAAAACCTTGAACGCCCAGCGCAAAGAGGCGCGGCTTCTGACCGCCGCGCCGGTGTCGTCTGCGCAAGGCCCCGTGAGGCCCAGGCCAGGCCCTTGGAGCCCAGGTGTTCCGCGAGCAGATGTGCGAAGGGGTCCGTGGCCAGCGCGAAGCGCGCTCCGCTCGCGGGCGGCCGGGGGCAGGGCATCGCGCCGTCGCCGACCATCCCGCGGCGCCTCGCCGCCTGGCCCAGCATCTGAAAGAAGGCGAGCAAGGGGCGGGGGCGTGGCAGTCGGGTCGATTCTGGGACTTCGAACCGCCAATTGCGGGCGACGCTGGGGAAGGCCTGGCCGATGTCATAAATGACCTGCGCCGGCGCCCGAACGGGCGCGTCTGGAGAAAACTGGGCGCGCCGCCCTTCGACGTCCAGCATAATGATGTCGTCGCCGAAATTCCGCGCGCGGACGAAGCCCGCCCGGGGTGGGTGGTGGGGGGGCGGCCGAGACCTGCTGGGAGGGCACTCGCTGGCAACGCACATGGCCCCAATGGGAATCCTGTTGTCGGCAAGCTTGAAACCTTTGGGGCGGGCGTTGCGGCCCCCCTGGTCGCCCGCCGCCCCGCGCCCCCTTTCGCGGAAACCTCGGGGGCGATCGCGCTGCGTATTTCGTTGGATCTTCCGCGCGCGGGTCCGCGTCCCAAATCCACAGCGGGGCGCTATCCAGGACCGCTGCCGGGCGTGGTGGGCCCGTTGCTATCCGCCGCTGCGCAGCTCCAAGTGCCCGTTGTCCGGCCAGGCGCGGTGGGCCGTCGGGCGGGGGCGCTGCGCGGGGGCGACGTCGAGCGCCTCTCCCGCTGGGCCGGGGCGGGGGCGGGGGGGGGGGGGCGCAACCGAGGCGAAGTCGGAACCGGCAAGGGGGGGCCTCGATCGCCGCGGCCCAGCCCACCCGAGCCGACGACGGGGGCCCGCTGCTGGCTCGCCAGCTCGAACGCGCCCCTGGGGGCGGTCGGCTCCTGATCTCCGCGCCGAACAGCGCGAAGATATACGCGGGCGCTATGCGTTATCCAGAGTTCGCCGGGCCGTCGGAGGCTAGCCGCGCCGGAGCAGGACGTGGCCGACGACGCCGGGCGACGGCCCCCATCCAGCAATCAAGATTTTGATATCCTGTTCCTCGCCATATCCCCATCTGAATGCGCGCGCGCCCTCGGCTTCCGCCTCCCGAAGCCTACTCCCGCCCGTGTTCCTGTGGGGCCCTCGAGGATCTCCGTGGGGCCAGCGAGGGGCGCGCTCTTGCCTGCGCGGTGTATCTCCAGTAGCTGGGGCGCCAGCGAGTGAGACGGGCGCGGGCGACGCGCTGCTCGATCTCCCCGACGCGCGATCGCCCTCGAGATACTCCTGACCGCCATGGGGCGCGCCAGGGCCGAGTTCGGCTCGCGCCAGATGAGTGCGCCCCGAACGTGCATTGCCGCCTTCCACATGGGCGCCCTAAGATGCTCGTGCCGCCGCGGGGGGGCCATCGAGTCGCCGCCCCGGCCCCGGTCGCTTAGCGCTGAATCCATGCACTGGGCGTTCCGCAGGTGCCTGAACATTTCGGGGGGTCTCTCTCTCTCTCTCTCTCTCTCTCTCTCTCTCTCTCTCTCTCTCTCTCTCTCTCTCTCTCTCTCTCTCTCTCTCTCTCTCTCTCTCTCTCTCTCTCTTCTCTCTCTCTCTCTTTCTCTCTCTCTCTCTCTCTCTCTCTCTCTCCTCTCTCTCTCTCTCTCTCTCTCTCTCTCTCTCTCTCTCTCCTTTCACTCGCTCACTCACTCACTCTCTCTCTCTCTCTCTCACTCTCTCTCTCTCTCTCTCTCTCTCTCTCTCTCTCTCTCTCGACGGTCTGCTCTTCCGTGGCTCGATGGTGGCGATTGACGCGTCGTGATCAGACGCTCCGCGGGCGTGTAGAACGGCTGGGCCGCCTCAAAATCCCCCCGTGCCTCGGCCGTCTGGTGAGAGGTCCAACCGGGGGCCAACGAAATACCCTGTCTACATTATCGAGCTTGCCTGTGCCAGGGTGGCACTGGGACGGGCCAATCGCAACGTATTCATGTAACAAGTTGAAGAGGGCGCCCCGCTGTGGCCCCGAGCCTCGAAGAGAGCTCGCGGGTGGCCCCCGTGCGAGCCTGGCCCCGTCCACTGAGTGCCCGAAGACGCCCTCGCGTTTCTCGCCGAAATCTCCTGGGCCCCCGTCATGCTGCTGCAAACCTGTCCGGCCACCTAGATGCAGCCTTGTGCCCCCAGGTTCGCTGAGTTTGGTAGCCGACAAATAACGCCTGCAAAGTTGCCGACGAGGTCCTCTGGGCCCGCGTAGATGCATTCCGAGCTCCCGCCCTTGCTGTCTGAGCCCCCGTTGGGGCCACCTGGGTAGCCGCAGCTGTCCTCTTCCGCGCCCCCGAATTCGCCGTTCGAGGCCGCGTCGAGGCCCAATGAGATCCCGAGGCCGCGCGCTGGGTTTCTGCGCATGCCCTCGGGCGCCAACGGCATCCGATGCTCGCCGGCGGGCCGCTGTAGGGAACGAGGGGGCGATGCGGTCAGTGCTGCCATCTGCCGCTGAAAACCCGCGACGCCACCTTGCCACTCAGTTTTGCGGGGTTGGGTAGTTGACAAATAACGTGCGCTGAGTTGCCATCGAGGTCCTCTGGGCCTGCGCGGGTGCCCTCCGAGCCCCCGCCCTCGCCGTCTGAGCGCCCGTCGAGGTCCCAGCGGGCAGGCGTCGTCTTCTGCGCCCCCGAACTCGCCCTCCGAATCCGCGTCGAGGCCCAGTGGGAGCGCGGGGCCTCGCGCCAGGTCTCCGCGTATACCCTTGGGAAACAACTGCACCCGATGCTCGCCGAGCGGGCCGTTGGAAGAATCGAGGGGGCGATGCGGTCGGCGCCGCCGTCTGCTGCCGAGAACCCGTCCGGCCACGTTGCCGCGGCCGTGTGCGTCCAGTTTTGCCGCGTTGGGTGGCTGACCAATAACGTCCACTGAGTTGCCTTCGAGGTCCTCTGGGCCCGCGCAGATGCCCTCCGCGCCCCCGCCCGCGCCGTCTGAGTTACCGTCGAGGTCCCCGTGGGCGTCCGCCCTCTGCGTTCCCGAACTCGTCCTCCGAATTCCCGGTTTGGCCCCGGGTGACCCCGCGGCCGCGCGCTGTTCCGCGGGCGCCTTTGGAAACAACGCCCGATGCTCGCCGAGCGGGCCGCTGGAGGAAGCGAGGATGATATATGACAAGGGCCACCATCAACATTATCATGGGTTGGGGGACGCGGGATGTTGAAGTCCCCGCTCGCAAATATAATGTCGCGCGTGGGGCCATTGCGTGCGCCATTCGCCGCTGCCTCGACATCCTGACGAATAAGCGACACCTGCGCACTATGGAAGTCCAAAGTGTGGATGTTACCATGAGCGACAGAAAAGAAGGAGCCGCTGGATCACACTCGTATTCTCAGGGCCCTGCCAGGAACGAGCTCGAGGTTCTCCGCCGCTGGCCGAGGGCTCCCAAAAGTGTACAGCCGCAGCCTCCGATCCCCACAGAATAAGCATTGCACCGCCTGCGCGCCGCCCACCCCTCATCAGAGAGTCAACGACGTGGTAGTTCGTCTTGTGCATGCAATGGAGGAAGTCCTCAGCCTCCGCTAGTGCGCCGTGCGTTTCTGGCACCCCAACGACTGCCCCATCGAGCAGCCGCGCAAGCTATCGCAACTCCTTCAGTCTGTGTCACGGCCATGGTGGAATAATACATGCGCGTTCCAGCTCGCAACAGAAAAAAACACGAAACTCGCCTTGTCGCCCCCGCTGGCCGGCCACCACGAAGGCAAGAAGCTTGCTGAACCGACCGCTCAGCAGGCCCAGCCTCCGCACCCGCCAACGCATCGCCCAGCAGTGGGGCCAGGACGTCCTT